GTGGGTGCTGGATAGAGCTACCTGTCTGTGGGTGGTTGGTGGGTGCTGGATAGAGCTACCTGTCTGTGGGTGGTTGGTGGGTGCTGGATAGAGCTACCTGTCTGTGGGTGGTTGGTGGGTGCTCTCGTGAGATTTGCTCTGTATTTCCTGTCAAACATCTATTGCCATGATCTCCCCTCCTTTTTGTGTTTGTTACTCTCTTGTAACACCTCTAATCTCCGGCGCTTAGATGACTTTATTGTGTTGCAAGTGGCGTAAAACTCTTACTACAACTAAAACCTACCCGTTTGTTCCCCCCAGAGGCATTCCGAGCTCCCATATTCCAGACGGGCCCCGACAAGGATGGTTTCAGCCTCGGGGGGAAAGCCAACTTCGCCGAAGTGTTCGGGGACGACAGGTCTAGATGGTTTTTACCGGTTTTTACCAGGTCAGAATGTTTTCTGCTGACTTGTCTTTGTCTATTCTCTACTCTGCTCGGTGTTTACCAGGTCAGAATGTTTTCTACTTACTTGTCTTTGTCTATTCTCTACTCTGCTGAAAAGTGTGTCTGTAAAGAATCTATTTGTGCAATTATCTTTCTGTTCACCCATTGACGTTTAGATGTCATGTTTGACTATTTTGTTGAAACAAGGATTTGACTTGATTCTTATGCTTCTTTCCTTGTTCTGAGGTGAATTTTGGGAAATGATTTACTGCACAATGTTGGTGTGTTTCCATTTATTGATGAGACATGGGAAAATGTGCTACGTGTGTTACTGTGTGGTGTGGTCCTGTCTGTGTCACTTTGGGTGGTCTGTGAGTGGCCGTGTCAACTTGTGGCGTGCACACCGTCCTCTTTTTGATGGCTGTGGACGGGGTGAACGTTCTGCCATAGGAGGCCTTCTCTTCTGCTGCAGTTTACTCTGCCAGTCAGGGAGGGGCTAGGGTGAGACGGGGAAACTGTGAGTTTGTATCACCACTCTCCCCCGTGTGTCCAGTGTTCATTTCTTGGAATTCCTGCCTTGCTATTCCATTTTTTTTATTCCACTCCTGCTTTGCTTCTGTTTATTTATGAACTTTTTGTTTGGTGGAGTTATCCTTCGGCTCTGTTCTGGAGATTTGGTGAGACATAGACACTTTGGTAGTAGGCCTACCCTGGAGGGAGGTGGAGGGAGGTAGTATTCTGTCTGCTTGTCGCTGATCTGTCCCCATGAATGAATGTATTGGTTGGCATGTTGACGGCACAGTTTGCCGGCGCACAATTCCAGGGAAGACATCAGGTCCCGAGCACTGGATGCAACAACTGCAGCTCTGTGATAGAATATATGTACAGCACCACCGCACTCTTCCTTGCATGATTCTCTCCTTTCCCACCATCTAGGAGAAGACACCAGTAATGTTATGTGTCAACGGATAAGACACCAGTAATGTTATGTGTCAACGGATAAGACAACAGTAATGTTATGTGTCAACGGATAAGACAACAGTAATGTTATGTGTCAACGGATAAGACAACAGTAATGTTATGTGTCAACGGATAAGACACCAGTAATGTTATGTGTCAACGGATAAGACACCAGTAATGTTATTTGTCAACAGATAAGACACCAGTAATGTTTTGTGTCAACGGATAAGACACCAGTAATGTTTTGTGTCAACGGATAAGACACCAGTAATGTTTTGTGTCAACGGATAAGACACCAGTAATGTTATGTGTCAACGGATAAGACACCAGTAATGTTTTGTGTCAAGGGATAAGACAACAGTAATGTTTTGTGTCAACGGATCAGACAACAGTAATGTTATGTGTCAACGGATCAGACAACAGTAATGTTATGTGTCAACGGATCAGACAACAGTAATGTTATGTCTAGGATCAGACAACAGTAATGTTATGTCTAGGATCAGACAACAGTAATGTTATGTCTAGGATCAGACAACAGTAATG